TCTAGGTCCCTCAGCACCTGCCATGTGCTGAGGCCCAGGCCAGTTTCCGCATTACACACAGTCCTCCTAGGGCAAGGCCCCTAGGGGGAAGAGAGCTCTCCACAATGTCCCCAGACCTTTTATTACCTGCCCTCAAACATGCCTCTGAGTCATCCTACTCAGGGATTGGCTAGGGTCAGGTGCATAGTCATAACCTGAGGGTGGATCCTCCCTCACTGTATGCCAAGGCTCCCTTTTCCTCAGCAACAGGAGGAGCAATCAATCCAGCAGACTCAGGGACACCTATAGAATGCATAGCTCTGTATAATCAGTATCTGGACTGGTTACAGTCCAGGTATCTCTAAATTGAATAGCGACATTTTAGAGGGCGCTACACATGTGTTTGATATCTCATTGGAGATGGATCCCAGGCTGTGTTTGCTGAATTGTGAGGAGGGGGAGGGCAGGGTCGGGGGATTGGTGACATTAAAATAAGATTGCTGGGCATAGCAAGGACATTGATTGCTTTTAGATGGTTGTCTCCTAGGCCACCCACATTAGAGGAGTGGTGTACTCAGGTTAACCAAATATTATTGAAAGAAAGAATGATCTTTATACATAGAGGATGTTTGGCGAAATTTTGGAAGATACGGTCCCCATGGCTTTCTATTCCTGGTTTGGCTCCACTTAGATCACTAAATTCACTTATAGTATTAGTTAATGCTCACTTAAATAAAGATTTGATTTATAAGCGATGGTAAGGGGGAGAAAAAACAAAAAAAAACACATTATAAATAAACAAATGAAATACACTAAAAATATTAGAGGAAGGGGGTAAGGAGGTGAGAGATAAAGACTAAAGGGAGGATAAGTAATAGAAATATGCATTATAAATATATATATAAATTATACACTATAAATATGTGGTAGGGGGTTCTTTGTTTAGATATAATATGTGAAAATGTTATATATTTTAGAGTAAACACCTGAATAATACACAAAATTAATATGAAACACTAAATATAGAGGTGGAATTGAGGGGGTGTGATATAATGAATAAAGGGAGGATAAGTAACAGAAATATGCAATATATATAAAATATACACTATAAATATGTAGTAGGGAGTTTATGTGTTGATATAATACGGGAGTAAACACTAAAAATAATATACAAAATTAATTAATATGAAACACTAAATATAGAGGTGGAATTGAGGGGGTGTGATACAATGAATAAAGGGAGGATAGGTAACAGAAATATGCAATATATATAAAATATACACTATAAATATGTAGTAGGGAGTTTGTTTGGTTTGTTTTTGTTTTTACATGATACGGGAGTAAACACCTAAATAATATACAAAATTAATTAATATGAAACACTAAATACGGAGGTAGAAAATATCACGATATAAATGGGGAGGGTGAAGGGAGTTAGATAGGCTATGTGGGAAGCTAATTTAAGATTTGGTAAATATAATGTGAAGATTGTTCAGGGTTGACCATGAAATGTAAATGTTAAAGTGTGGACTAAGTTGTGAAGATAGCAGTGTCTGACTGTGAGTTGTATGTATGTGGATGTATAATCATGTTGTTGTAAATTACACTATTAATTATGTGGTTGTAAATTATTATTGTTATTGTTAATTGTAAAAAGAAAATGTAATAAAGAGGAATTTTTAAAAAATGGTTTGCGACAGCATTGAGTGGGTGTATCTGTGGCAGGTCCTTTCCCTTTTTGGGTTTAAATCTGATTTTATTACATGGGATTATTATAATATAATCCATTAGTAGGGATTAGAGTAAATGATAATAATACATCCTCTTTTGCGCTGCAGAGGGGGACTAGACAAGAGTATCCAATATCCCCTCTCCTATTTGCTTTGGCAATTGAGCCCGTTGCTGTTTTGGTGAGATCTACCTCTGCAGTTGTGGTCTTTCAAAGGGGAAAGAACGAAGATTAAATTTCTCTTTCGCAGATGATTCTCTGATATTTTTAGCAGGCATCTCCTCCTCCCTTCCGACAGTGATGTCATTGTTATCGGAGTTTGGTAGGTTCTCAGGTCTGAGTCAATTGGGAAAAGTCTACAATTCTTCACATAGACCCTCTAACAGTTCCGCTGGCTCATATGGCTGCTCAAATCCCGATAGTGGACTGTTTTTTGTACCTGGGTATTCGAATCTCGAGAGAACCCCCAAGAATTTATAGAGCAAAATGTACTGCCTGTGTTGATCAAACCTCATAGGCAAAAAGAGGCATGGTGTAGATTGCCTTTATCAGTGGTGGGAAGGATACATTTGGTGAAGATGGTGTGGATGCCGCAGCTACTGTATGTTCTTCATAATGCTCCTTGTTTGGCTACCATCTAGTATTTTTTGGTAGAATCAATACTATGATTAGATAACTAATATGGTGGGAGGAAAAAACCTCCACGTATCAAGTTAGAAACCTTGCAACATCCTAAGTGGAAGGGGGGATGTTGGTCCCCAACCCATGGCTGTACTTTTGGGGGGTCTCAAATGCAATATTTTGTTGTATGGGAGAAGGAGGGATATAGGTCTCCGATTATTGAAGTGCTACGTAGCTTGTTTGGTGGATTGGATCCTTTTTCCCTGTTAGAAACAGACATATATGTTAGGGCCCATACGAATATGCCTACGATTAAACTCATGGGGAAGGTGTGGGACTCGGTCAAATCCCTTTTAGGGTTACAGGGTTCACGCACTATACCCCTCTCTGGAAAAATGGGAAGATACCGGACGATGACGCTAAGCTTCAAGGTTTTGGAATAAGGAGAACTTTAGGGGTGGGTAGATTATGCCAGCTGTATGAGGGAGGATCTTTTTGTTCATTCGAGTCGTTAAAACTCGAATTCCAGCTGTGGAATTGCTCTTTTTATTTATATCTACAACTAAGACATGCTCTGCAGGTACATCCTGGGATAGGGTTAGTTCAGATACATTCTTTTAAAACCTTGGAGCCAGTCCTTAAGGTCAAGGGTATGAAGGGAAAGGTTTCATTCATCCACTCACTTCTGCTGCCTCGATTTTTGCGCAAGTACCCTTTTCAGTGCAGGCAGGGCTGGGAGCCAGATGTCGGACAACTGACGGAGGAGAAGTGGGAGAAGGCTCTGGCAGTAATTTCCCAGGTTTCCCTATCAGCCTCCCATCCGTTGCCTCAACTCTTTATACTGCATAGGGTCTATCACAGCCCTGTATTCCTCTACAGGATCAGTATTAGGATAGATGAGAGTTGTCAAGTGTGTTGTCAAGTGTGGCCTAACACTAGGCTCCCTGACACATTTGTTATGGAGGTGTGCCAAATTAGTGAGATACTGGGATTGGTGCATTAGACATTATTATTATGGTAATTGTTGTATCTATTTTGGTCAACCCCCTAAGTGGTATTCTTGGGGTTATAGACTTTTTGAAGTCAGATCCCTATAGTATGGCTGCAGTAACTAGGGCACTGTTCGCTGCTAGGCGGACTTTGGTGATGAGGTGGATATCCCCCTCCTCACAGACAGTAGAAGAGTGGTGTAAAGAGATGGATCGGTTAATCTCTTTCGAGAAATCGGCGTTTCAACATTATGGTAACAAAGCTAAATTTCATATAATTTGAGATCAATGGTTGGACAATAGGTCTTTGATAGATTCTGCTGTTGTAGACACATCCTAATGGGATTTTGGGAGAGTATTAAACTAACAACCCCTCTGTCTTTAGGGGTTAAGTTGGTCTACAAAGGTGCCCGCCCTTAAACTGTACTGACTTTTGTTTTAGTAGGTGTTAGGTTTTAACCTCTTGCCGTCCGCCCGTAGTAGACGGACGGACGGCACTGCTGCATTGGCGGGTTGCCGTCGCCAGACGGCATTTTTTTTCTGCTCGCGCGCGCCCCCTAGCGGGCACGCACGGGCAGAAAAGACCCGTCCAATGCGAACACCCGCCGTTTTTTTTGTCCCCCCCTGAACTGCATGACGGAATAAATGTCAAAGTACCGCAGCCCTGAATACTGAAAAATGGCCTGGATGGGAAGGGGGTTTAACACCGCGGATGTCAACTGGTTAAACATGTTACTAAAATGGGAAGTATAGTTGAAGTGGGAAGAAAGTGAGAAAGGAAGAAGGTTAATATTGTAAATCAATGGGGGTTTTTGGTTTTGTGACAACATTAAGATATTTACACCAGTTACACTATATCAGTTATCAATATATTTATTGATTACTAATTGAACACTTATATGAAATATTATAAAATTGTGATTAATTCACTTTATTAGTAATTAATCAATCATGTTTTCTTATGAAAATAAATGCTTATTTAAGGCTAGCGTTATATTATAATATATATATATGTTATATATATTATATATAATAAAATATATTAGAATAGTTTATTATATATAATTATGGTTTTTGTAGTAGTACTAGCTACTGATGAATTGTATATAGTTCTTAAAGGGATTAATTATGCGCTTTATTAGGGTTAGACACTGTTTAATTATATAATGGTATTGTCCTTTTTTCTTGTCTTTTCTTCATTTTAGGGATACAAAATATTATACTTCTTTTTCTGTATAGGATTTTTATTGGTTTGTTCTGTGGGAAAAAAACTGTTAATAAAGATTATTTAAAAAAAGAAAGAAGCAGAGTCTATTTTAAGCAATTTAATCAGCATTTGGAATATCTTAAACATTTTGACTTGAATAAAAACAGACCATCAGGTTATCTTTGCTTGGTAATGAGGAAACAGTAGTGCTTTTCAAATGCTCTTTTTCTGCTATTTAGAGAGGAGAGGACAAACATTATGTCAGAATGCTTGAATTATTTATACTAACAGATGTTTTACATCTTCCAGAGGCACACATAAATTGAGAAGCTATTACAATCACAAACAAGATAATCCTGTCCATACAACTTAACTAAATTTACAATGAAGTCCAAATTTTAACATACATAAAACGTTCAACAAACATGAAAGTGGATTTGTTTCTATAATAAAAAAAGATTATGAGCAAACATACCTGGCGCACATGTTGTTTTCTGGTAACAGTGGCATTTCCAAGACTTTGGTGCTAGCTAGGATAATTTCTTGGCTAACGGTAGCTACGGTCTTTCCAGTGATTCTATGCACCTGGTAAAACGCATGAGGCCTCAGGTAACGGTCATCAGCTGTTCCAATAAACATCTGTAGATTTACAAATTTTTCGGTGTAACCTAGCAACTGAGAAAATAAAGTAGTGAATATAAATCCTAGCTTTTACTAAGGATTATATATGTATACTTTTGGAAAAAAGTATTTACTGTCTGTAAAAACTCAACCTACTGTAAGATAACCAGTTTAATACACTCTATCCAATTACCTTTATGTTAGTTTCTTACCATGCAGTCAGTTTCTCTCTGCATTGCATCACTGCCATCCCTACTGCATGTTCCCAAACCTCCATCTTTAAACTTCTGACATTCCTTTATTATGAACAATTTACTGCCCAGTTAAACTGTAGTTTGATAAGAAACCAAACCACAAAAAAAAGGAAAAATTTGATTTTTGTACTAACTATAAAAGCATTTTCTTCAGTAAAACTCACAAAGCAGCCACGGCTCATATACCTTGTTCTGGGGTCACAGGCAAAAAAAGGCACACTGCAGCTTGATAATGGTTCTCACAGAAACAATTGTCACACAAACAACTGGTATCACAAGCTTGATACTGTTTATTTCCAGTTTTTTAGTCAAAACATGCTGTAAACACACACAGGCTTCTCCAACTCTAACATGTTTCACCAAACAGCTTATTCGACAAAACAATCTTTTTGTTTGGTTAAACGTTAGAGTTAGAGGAGCCACTTTGGGTTTACTGGGAATAAACAGTATTCAGCTTGTGATACCAGTCGTTTGTGCGGCAACTGTTTCAGTGAGAACCGTTTTCTCAAGTATTTAACTGGGAGACACCTCTGGATATATACTCTGCTTCTTGTGAGGTTGGACAAGAGGAAAATTTTAAAGTCACAGCTCTTAAGTGTTTACAACACATACAAACACCAAGCCAATCCACAAGTATGCAAACTGTCGCCTCAGAGGAAGTCAATAGTGACGAAATGCATCAGGTGGGCGGATCCATGCGAGCATTACAATCATAGACAGGAGTTCCAGTGGACACAATCCACGTGCAATTGCCCTATTTTAATTGAAAGTGCATTTTAATTCTTTTAAATACATTTATTCTGATATACTACACTATGGAAAGCATTTTTTCTCTCTCTGAGCACAAGAGAAGGTGGAAGATTGAGGAATAGTTTTATACGGTTTTGGAAAGATAAGCCAGAGTTGGGAAGAATCTACCCCAATTTATTGTCGGATCAAAAACAAAGGAGAGGATTTGGTTCTATATATATCAACAAAGCGCTAATTGTTCATCTGAAATATGGTGAGCATTAGGAGTCGGTGAGTGCGGCCAGATCTTATCTTTGAGCACGGTGGAGAGCACTGATTCACAAATTGTTTATGCATTCACGGACGTGGTGTGGATTTTAAAAGTTGAAAGCTATATATCTTCACATATTTCAAGGAAATTATTGTATCAGGAAGTAATGGACTTCACATATGGATATGTAGATTAAGTGGGAGTTGTACATCACTTGTGAGATTTACTACAGGATTTTCTATATGTACACATTCTATGAGATGTACTAGCACAAGTATATGTTGGTTTTTTTCCTGTTTATTATGGTTTATAGTGTCTAGACCATTAGACCAAGAGTTTTTTTCTGAACTATTATTAGCACTGGCATTGTGCAACACAGGTGTTGTGTCAACACAAAATTGTTTATCACTTTGTGACAATTTCGCAATTTATACCATTTTTCTCACATTTTAGGAATATATTTGTTTAGTTTGTGAAGCGCAGTGCCATTTGCTTTTTTCCTTTTTTAATCCACAAGTAGTAAATCAGGAGAAAAAAATAGGTGGGATCTGTCTCTCCAATTAACCATAGGAAAAGAGTGTCATGGTGTGGCTGTATCACACAGCTACATAAGACCTTACGTCCACAACTGACATTATATGAAGTTTTCTATGTGCCCTGGCAGTGACCTGTTTTTTTGTGCAGAAAAATGCAGGTCACTGCATATACTGTGAACATATCTTATTAGCCTTCTTAAAACAGAAGGTAATTAATGTCTCATTCTATCACATATCCCAAATGAAAGAAGATTATTCTTAATTTTGGAACAGCGGGAGGTGCCATGTAAATCATTGCTTTACACTGCATTGGCCAGATGCAAGTCCAGGAGCTCTGGTGTATGGTACAAATATATCCTAATATTATATAGCCATTTACTCCAAAATGTATATAGATGTTTCAGGCTTTTTGTCCATCATCAGGGAAGTTTATGGCTTCTATGGAGTAGGGTTTAGAATCTAACGGGACAGTATAACCATACTGGTTACGGTAAGAACGGAATAATGCAATCAAAAAGCCCTCACACAAATCAGTGCCTAGCAGAAGAGAATATCAAACTGCTTGGAAAAATGTAAACTGAACACTTGTTGCGGTTTGGCTGCACCATTGTCAGAGTTGATTGCCACTTCAATTTAAGCATTTGTAATGACAGCGTGAATCAGAATGTCAACTTCTCTGAGAAGATCTATTCTACTCTGTAAAATGTACTTAACTCTTTCATGACCGAAGCCTTTCTTTCGTTTTTTGCACCCATGTTATAATCCACATTTTAGGCCTGAAAATTACTTAAAACCCCTGAACATTAAATATTTTCTAACAGCCAAGACCCTGTAGAATAAAATGTCAGCAGTTGCAAATTTGTATGTTTCACCATATTAGCGCAGCTCTATCAAACCCCACAATTAGTGAAAAATGCACTTAAATGCCCCAAAACACAATAAAATACCCATGTGTTTAAAAGAATATAAAGGATGAGATTACAACGAGTAAACAGCATTATGGATCCCGAAGAATTGTAGAGTATTCCCTGGAGATACCTCACCGCTTACGCTAACAACCTTTAAAATATGGGACTTAATTTGCCAGCTAAATAGGTGGTCCTATAATTCGCCCTTATTATATCTGTTGGATAATAAGTATTTTATCCCTGGTAAGGAGGATGTGAGGTTTCTTACTTGGTTAAAAGAACAGGACATTCAGTTACATCAACATGGGACTTTTGGTGCTATAGGCAGCTGGCGCATTTTGTTAAATCTCTCCCCTTACCAATAAGATCACTGGCAGAATTAAATCAAATTGAACTGGTGCTAGTTAATATTAGATCACCAAAACATATGATATCCCGGTTCTATAGGGCACTGATGGATCTATCTACGGACACACACACACGCTTTTTGGCTCAATGGGAGGACGAACTGGGCAGTATACTAACAGAGGAGCAGAAAAAAAAGATAATGCAATTATGCCATACTTCCTCAATGAGCTCAAAGGTTGAAGAAAGTAACTATGAACTATTAGCGAGATGGTACTTAACACCTTCCAGAATGGGGAAATGTAACAAAAAATATTCAAAGGAATGTTGGAGTAAATGTGGCAAAGAGGGTACAATGGAGCACATATGGTGGTCCTGCCCAGTTATTCAGGGCTACTGGCAGAAAATAATTTACTATATTTGTGCTATAACAGACCAAAAGGTCCCTCTTGAACCTTGGATATGTTTGTTCCACTGTACAGACTCCCCAGTGGGGAAATATAGGAGAACTGTGATTCCATTCCTATTGAATGCGGCAAAGGCGAATATTTCCAGATCATGGAGATGTGTATCAGAACCAGATATTCGCAGTTGGCTTAAACTTATTGGTCAGTATAGCGAAATGGAGGAACTTACAGCTGTGATAAAAAACTCAGGTTCTTCGCATAACAGAATCTGGGCTAAGTAGAACAAATTTAAAAATTCTCAGCGATATGTGGAAATTATGTTGGGTTGACACTGGGGAAAATGTAAAGAAGCTAAGGATTTGATAGGGTAAAAGAATAGAAGTGCAGAGTGGCCCTGAATTGCGCATAACGGAAGATATATGATGATTATCTTTTTTTATTTATAGAAAGAAAGAAACTCTTGGTGTACCGGCCTTCACCATCTTTTTTTTTTCTTCTCTTTTCCACCTTTCTCCCATGTCATTCACCCCTCCCCCTCTTTTAAGATTTTTTTTTCCCCTTTACCCTTTCCCTCCCATAATTTTTATTTTATTTATTGTTATATGTTTATATAATTTTTTGCTTTTTTTTTCCTTTGCCCTCCCTTCTTCCCTCTTCACAGTGATTTCACAATGATTATGATATAAAGTAAATCACAGCTTAATAATAAGATATGATACTTTAGGATGGAGGCATAACAAGTCTGCAGTGTCCTCTTTCACTCATGATTTTGTCACTAGGTATAGGATAAGAGGGTATAATTACCACACATGGTGTGAGGCAAGTTTGGCACGGCTACATGACACTTCCATAATGATATAGATATTATGTGGATTAAGAATTTAGACGTAGATTGGAAACTCTAGGTATACATGTCATTAATGTATGTTTTTTATGTCAATAAAAATAAAAGTTAAAAAAAAAAATTGTGTGCGACCATGAAACTGCAACAAAATTCAGTACCCCAAAAAGTCCATAGACAACGCTTTAAAATCCCCTACAGGTCATCAGTTTAGAGATACGAATAAATATTGGCCCTAAAATTGCTCTCACTCTGGCGTGCGCAGAAATACCCAACATGTGTAGCTCGATCATTATTTTCGTACATAGGCGCACCTGACGCGTGTTTACGTTATGACGCACGTGCTCGCGGGGGCCTTAAAAAATGTTTACATTATTTTTACATTTATTTAATTTGATATGTTTAAAAACTTATTTGTTTTACTTTAATTGCTATCACATAGGGGGGCCTAAAATCCCCCATGTGATAGCATATTGGCAGTGACAGGTACTCTTTAAGGTGAAACTGGGGGTCCAAAAGCTTTAAATAAGCTTTTAAAGTGCAGATCGCAATTCAATAGCTTATTGCTGGGCTTCAGGAGCCCAACAATGATAGCTATGGGACCAGAAAGGAGGTAATTTGCATCAATTCCGGTCCCATAGTGCGGGGAGGAGATCAGCTTCCCACCACCCACCTTTTGGTGGTATTTAATCACCACTGTGATTTTCATTATCTACTATATTAAGGAAAAAATACCGTATATTTTGAAAAAAACGCCTGTTTC